ATTTTATTTTCTGTTTATATTTAAAGAAGTTGGACTTGGATAGTAGCAATGGACCAATCAATTGGGTCCCATAGATTACTTGGATGGAGGTATTAGTGGGTATGGATATTTACCCACAGATAGTTGAATATATATAGTTAAGGGAATGTATATATTTAAGGATAGTTTATTATTACTATTAGTATTATTATTTTACTATTGGTAATAATATAAGTAGACGTTAATCTATATACACACATATACACATATAGTTGTTAAAGATATATTCTTATGATATATATATATATATATATATATATATATATATATTATTTAACTTATAACAATATATATATTTGTTGCCCAAGTATTGATTATAGAGGGGGGTGAATAGAGTCTATGTCAAACAATGGCCAATTTTCCGATTTACAAATTCTACTTAACACCTTCTAACAATTATGCAATAATCAAGATATGGACATAAGCAATTAATAGCATAAATGTAAAGGAGATAAGGGAAGAAAGATTGCAAACATTCACACAGCGATTTTAGCGAGGTTTGGAAACTCCTACTCATCGGCTCAAGACCCTTCTTGAAACTTCTCAATCCACTATGCCTTCTCCTTACGGGTGGAGAGCAAACCTTTACATGAACCCTTAGTCTTTCTTTGGGTCACACCAACCCTTACAAATTGAAGCTAGCTTGTTTCTTCTTTCTTGGGCCACACCAACCCTTACAAATGAAGATCAGATTTGTTGCATACAAATATATCTCTCAAAGATTGATATGCAAATCAAAGCTCACAATAATCTCTCACAGATTTGATATACAAAGTTTAGCTCACTCTAAATTATATATATGAATACAATGAAACACAATACTCTTCTAATGATATTGGATGTATAAATAGAAGAACAAAAGCTCTTTGGATGCTATATGATGATTCTATATGGTAGCAACATTTAATCCAGAAGTCCCCAGCTCTATTTATAGAGTTTTGATGAGCTAATTCAAGAATATAGTTGTTGTGCACGCGGTTCAAGGTAAAATAGCCGTTCAAATTTGAATCTGGGTAGGTTCAGTCGACCGAAATGAAACATCATTGTGTTTCGGTCATTCGAAATGGTTCAAGGTTGGCTATGATTCCTTATTTCGGTAGACCGAAATATTTCACCTTTTGTTTTGGTCGTCCGAAACTCCTTCCTCCTTTATTCTAAAACATTCTATGAGAATCGGCTCATCCGATTCATTTGTCTCTTTATTTCGGTCGTCTGAAACATCTAAAGTGTTCTTTCATTAACTTATTTTGGTAGACCGAAATGAATTGGTCCTTTGTTTTGGTAGGCCGAAATGGAACCGCTACTTCAAAAATTGTTCTAAGTTAACAGATGAAACAGTTTGTGCACAGGACATCTGCACATACCTTATTTCCATTGAAAACATTAAAGTAAATGGGGAAGTACCCCCCATTTGGATTCAATAAAAAATACTAGAAAATTAAAATCCAACTAAATCAAAATATAGAAATTCAGTTTTAGTATAAATTTGGATTTCCGATAGTTTTGGTAAAAATGAATCCTTATGTAAACCAATGTAGAATTGATCAAAAATTCTGATAAAATCAGTTTAGGCTATTTGCAGTAAAAAGAGTTATTACCGGGAAAAATTATTTTGAAATAATCATTATTTCAAAAATCCATTTTTCACACTTAGCCAAAAACATAGTTTTCATAACGCGCATTCTGGGGTCCTAATGTCCGTTAACAACTCATGGTAATGAAGGCTTCTCATGCCTTAATTGTTGACCAATATGAATTATATGATAATGTGCATGGTCTTAGCATTTCTAGCACAAATGATGAGTTCTTTCAAAGCTTATGCAAGCTTGAACTAACTCACTCTTTAGCAAAGACTCCATATATCAATTGTATATGAATGAAGTGCATAGTCTATTGGTAATGGATATATGAGCATATGAATGATGATATCTCCGTAACCGTTTAACATTTTTATCCCTGCGGGTACCCGTTCCGCCCCATTTAAGACCACAATTTATTTATTGTTGATATAGATTTACTCATCTTTTTTTCCCTCATCTTCAATTCTTCACTATTGCAACTTTCATTTTAAAGAAATTCATTTGTTACTTTAATATTGTTATATAGGGTACTTAATATATAGTGGGAAATATATATATTAATAAAATAAGAGTACTTAAGTAATTTGCTATCTAAATTGGGCCGGGCGGTGAGAGCAGTTCAAGTATGACATTGGTGATACTAGGAGGAAAAACCCAGTTCTTGTTTATAATGAAATTATCCACTGTTGTGTCATCATTAAATCTAGCCTCAGTGAGTACATTTAGTGGAAATCTTGAGCTAAGAGGCCCTCCTAGAGCCCAGTTGTCCCATCAGAATGATGTGGTAGCACCATTGCCAATAGTGTGTTTGACGAGAAGTCGTGCAGGATGCCTAAGTTGAAGGTTTTCCTGCAACTCCAAAAGCAAGGCTGAGGGTATTTGATTGTCCAAAGATTTATAGACTTAAGGAGGTGGGATTGGCACCAATTGATCCAAAGTCTATTTGAATCATCTGTTAGCAAGTCACAAATATACCTTATAATCCCAGCTCTATTTGAAACCTCCAAATTAGAGATTCCTAGTCCACCTGCAAGTTTAGGACTACAAACCCTACTCCAAGCAACTTTTGCACCAAAAGATTTCATTTCTGGACCTGACCAAAGGAACCTTTTGAAAATCTTATTGAGTTCATCAATAACACCTTTTGGTAAAATGAAGATGTTGTACTAGTAGTTTTGAGTAGAGGCCAACACGGCTTTGATCAATTGCAGTATACTTGCATATGAGAGTGGTTTAGATGTCTAGTTGGAGATTTTATGTGTGATCTTATTTACCAATAAGCTACAATGTTGTGATTTTAAGTTGGTAGTGATCAATGGCACACCAAGATATCTCACTGGTAGAGTGCCAACATCAATGCCAAGTAGTGAAGTAATCTCTTCTTGTGTGTGGTCATCAATTCCAGATAAGTAAACTGCATTTTTTAAGAGGTTGATATCAAGTCTAGACATTGAGTAGAATAGATCAAGTGCAGATTTCAGGAATGAAACTGAGGTAATGTCTCCATAGCATACCAATAACAAGCATCTGCATAGGACAAGTAAGTGATTTTCTACTCTCTACACCTCCAGTGATATTTGAGGGAAGACACCCTTTTTCCACTTCGTTGCTTACAATTAATGAGAAAACATATATAATAATGACAAAAAGGAAGGGAGAGATGGGATCCCTTTGCCTTAGCCCTCTTTTACCTTTGAAAAATCCCTGAAATTCACCATTTAGGGCAATAGTGAATAAGGGAGATGAAATATATGCCTGAATCAATGAAATGGACTTCAGTGGGTATTTGTGCAGTGTGAGACAACAGATGATGAAATCCCACTTAACAAAGTCAAAAGCCTTCTTTAGGTCCACCTTGATTACACATCTTGTTGGTGTACTGTGCATGTGGTAATCTCTTAGAAGTTCATGAATAAATGCAGCTTGGGATTGATCAATTATGTGAGGCAATGTTGTTTGTAACTTGCTTTCAAGCAATTCGGAAATGCACTTGTAGATGGTGTTGACACAAGAGATAAGCCTGTAACCATGAAGTGAGGTTGGATTATGATATTTAGGAACCAAGGATATGTAGGTGTTGTTTACCTCTGCTAGAAGCTTGCTATTCCTAAAGAACTCTGAAATGGCATTTGTAATTGACCTACAAACTATATCCCAAGCACTTTAGAAAAATAGGGCATTATACCCATCTGGCCTTGGTGTTCTGTCTTTGTTTAACTTTATCATACAGTTCTGAATCTCTATTTAAGTTGGCATTTCATTAAGATAAGAATGTAGAATAGGAAGTACTTGCTTGGTGATGAATAGTAATAAGTCACTGGTGTGGTGTGTAGAATGGGGTGAGTGACCTAGCAAATTCTGAAAGTGATTGACAACTTAGAAGTTTTATTTCCTCCATATCTTCAATAATTTGGCCATTATCCAAGGTGAGAGAAACTATCTTCTTCTTGTTGTTCCTAGAGGTGAATGATCTATGGAAAAAGGATGAATTGCAGTCTTTCTTAGTTTCAGTCCTCCCAATCTAAAAATCTAATCTTTAGTCTTCTCTCTATATATGCATACACAGAGTGAGATGAGAGAAAAAGAGGGACACAAATTTGGGTTGGTCAATGAACAGATTTGGATCGAGAGCATGTTCTGATATAGAGAGAGAAAGTAACGAGAAGGAGAGGGAGGGGGGTTTAGTGTAGAGAGAGAGAAAGTAAAGAGGAGAGAAAGGGGGGAATGGTTTAGGGGGTACCATTCCCTGTTGGTGAGGAACATTGAAGAAAAAAAGAAATTTGGCACAAAAGGTGATTAAAAAATATTTTACAGATCGTTGCCAAATACCGAAAAAATAAAAAAATAAAAAGAACATTTTACATGAAAATGTTTTGTTTAGAAAATATTTTACAAGGAAAATATTTTACTTCTAAACAAACCAAACGGAGCCTTAATATCATATTTTTCTTCATTTTGAGTAATAATATACAATATCATCCAAAATTAAAAGTCAATTAGAATAATAAAAAGTGTTAATTTATCTAAACTAAAATGAGGTGAGACTTGTGAACCAAACCCCATATAGGCAAATAATGAAAAAGATTTAAATTGGCAACAAAATTCAAACTTTTTTACTGACATAGTACGAGCCCACCTAATGCTTGGGCCTCCTGGCCCAGGACTTTCACTCTAAGGCCTTAAAGCTCGAACCAGGTTCAGGGCAACACTCCTCATCCTTCCAGCACTTTCAGCGAACCAGAGAGATAATGATAGAGAGAGAAAATCGAATCACTTCAAATCTATGAAGCTCCACACTTTACAGGCAAGTAGTCATCTATACACTCTTTGCTTTGATTGAAAACATATTATATATAGCACATCGCTGTGTTTCTTCAAGAAATGACTATATATATCTGCAAAAGTCTCATCTCTCTCTCTTTCAAGAACTCTTCACATCTCAGCAAAACTCGAATCCCTCTTTTCTCTCTCCTCTTATTCTCTTCCTCTCCTAGAACCCCCATTGCCGTGGCCGATTACTTGCTTAATAGACACAAAATTTCTCCTGAAACGGCTTCAAAAGTCTCTTCCTTTGTAAAGTATCTGAAAAGGCCTGAAGATACCGATTCGATTCTCTCATTTCTCCAGGAAAGTGGTTTTTCGGATACCCATCTCCGGTATGTCATCAAAGTCGTCCCTCGGGTTCTCTCTGCAAATCTGGAGCGCTCCATCAAACCCAAATTCAAGATTTTTCAGGACTTGGGTTTTTCTTCTAGCGATGTTGTGAAAATTGTTTCGTCTGACCCACGGATTCTAGCTTGTAGAGTTGATAATCGGCTTAGCCCGTCGATTTTAGCATTGAAGAGTGTTTTGGGTTCAAATATGGATGATGTGTCTAGATTTTTAAAGAAGTCTGGGTGGTTTTTGAGGTATGATTTGGCGAATACTTTGATACCCAATATTGAATTTTTGAAGAGTTGTGGTATTAGTGCGTCGCAAATAGCTCAATGTATGTATCATTTTCCAAGAATTTTCTTGCATAAACCGACGAGGATAAGAGAAATAGTCAAGAGGGTTGATGAGATGGGCTTTAACAGGGAGTGTAAGACGTTTCTTCATGCCATTCGGGTTATTAGTTCGATTTCTAGAGAGAATTGGGAGTTGAAATTGGAGCTCTTTAAGAGTTTGGGGTTTTCGGAAGATGACATTTTGTCAGTTTTTAGGAGACAGCCTATGGCATTTGGTGTGTCAAAGAGGAAAATTAAGGAGATAACACAGCTTTTCCTTAGCACGGGCAAATTTGATATCTCATTTGTTGTTAATAACCCAAATTTACTTATTTACAGTGTTGAAAATAGGCTTAAACCGCGGCTAAGAGTTCTGGAAGTTTTGGAACGGAGGAATTTGCTTCTTAAAAAGCCGAATTTGGCGAATGCATGCAGGATCACTGATAAGAAGTTCTATGAGAATTATGTGCTCCCTTATCCAGATGAAGTTGGCGAATTATTTGTGATTAAGAAGGCCTCATAGAAAGCAGAAATATGTTTGGGACTTCATGATTTAATACCTAGAGCTTAGCAAGGTCGGTAAGTAGGTACTCTGAAAAACATATGGTGTACTACTCTGAAAAACATGGATTAATTTTTGTTTACCCGGCTTAGCTTGTCTGTTTAATAGAATAATTTTTTGTTTCTTGTTCTTTTTCTTGCCTTGTTTATTTACTATACTGAAATTAAAACACTCATGTTCTATTGCAACCCCAAGTTGGTTCATTGCGCATGTATGGAGCTAATAAATTTGATGGCACTTAAAGAATTGTAAATTATGAACTTGTCCAAATTTACAAAATTAGATTAGAAATATGGACATCATAAAACAATATGTATTTGTGTTACTATCTCAAAATTGGGGTACAAGTGTGATTCATGTCTATGTTGTCATTTTTAGTCTTTGTGTCACAGAACATACATGCTCATGGTGGCTTGGGGTGATGGCCCCCAGCCCACTACACCTTGCCTTGGAACTAGACTTCACTTTTGTTGGGTACATTACAGGAAGAAAGGTTCTTGTATTTCCCTGTCACTTTAATTGAGTTATATCTGTGTGCGTGTGTGTGTGTGTGTGAGAGAGAGAGTCACTTTAATTGAGTTATATCTCTGTGTGTGTGTGTGTGAGAGAGAGAGAGAGAGAGGGAGAGGGAGAGAGAGAGAGAGAGAGAGAGAGAGAGAGAGAATCTTAATTATTTTATAATTTGGCAGCTTGAAATGCTACAAATCTGGTGAATACAATACTGTAAAACATAAAGGTGTCTCCATATGTGGGTGTCCTGTTTCTAAAATTATCGTCAAAGCAGGGGACATATAGGGCGGCGAGAAGATTTGAGGAAGTGGAGATGTTGAGTTTTAAAGCAAGTTTTTCACTTCTGAAAGGGGAATGGATGAGTGAAGACCCCAAAAGACGTGATGTTTACATTAGGGCTTATATAATGGTCTTTCTAAAATGCCCTTAACAAGAAACATGATATGATGCTAACATATACAGTCATACTACTACAGGAATTTGCTTTGATTGAAAACATATTATATATAACACATCTCTGTGTTTCTTCAAGAAATGACTATATATACCTGCAAAAGTCTCGTATCTCTCTTTCAAGAACTCTTCACATCTCAACAAAATTCGAATCCCTTTTCTCTCTCTCCTCTTCTTCTCTTCCTCTCCTAGAACCCCCATTGCCGTGGCCGATTACTTGCTTAATAGACACAAATTTTCTCCTGAAACTGCCTCGAAAGTCTCTTCCTTCGTAAAGTATCTGAGAAGGCCTGAAGACACCGATTCGATTCTTTCATTTCTCCAGGAAATTGGTTTTTTGGATACCCATCTCGAGCATGTCATCAAAGTTGCCCCTCATGTTCTCTCTGCAAATCTTGAGCGCACCATCAAACCCAAATTCAAGTTTTTTCAGGACTTGGGTTTTTCTTCTAGCGATGTTGTGAAATTCGTTTCGTCTAACCCACGGATTCTAACTTATAGCGTTGATAATCGGTTTGTCCCAATGATTTTAGCATTGAAGAGTGTTTTGGGTTCTAAAATGGATGATGTGTCTAGGTTTTTAAAGAAGTTTGGGTGGTTTTTGAGGTATGATTTGGCGAAAACTTTGATACCCAATATTGAATTTTTGAAGAGTTGTGGTATTAGTTTGTCGCAAATAACTCGTTGTGTCTTATTATTACCCAACGTAAAGTAATAATAGAGGATATGTCTAGAGTGTTGATGAGATGGGCTTTAACAGGGAATGTAAGACGTATCTTCATGCCATTCGGATTAATAGTAAAATGCTCTGTTTTTAGGAGACAGCCTATGGCATTTGCTGTGTCAGAGAGGAAAATTAAGGAGACAACACAGCTTTTCCTTAGCACGGGCAAATTTGATATCTCGCTTCTTGTTAAGAACCCAAATTTACTTATTCTTAGTGTTGAAAATAGGCTTAAACCACGGCTGAGAGTTATGGAGGTTTTGGGAAGGAGGAATTTGCTTCCTGAAAAGCCAAGTTTGATGACTGTATTCCACATAACTGATAAGAAGTTCTTTGAGAAATGTGTACTCCCTTATTCAAATGAAGTTGGCGAAATATTTGTGGTTAAGAAGGCCTCGTTGACAGCAGAAATATGTGCTTAAGATAATGACATTTTTGTGAGCTGAGACTGAATCTTTTTTCCAAAAAGCAAATGACTTGGCCACATATCATGGCAAGTAAGTAGGTTCTATTTTGCACTAGATATTCATGTTTTTTTTTTTCTTTTATCCATGTGGTGTACTACTCTGAAAAAAGATGGATTAATTTTCCTGCCGGCTGTATCATTTCAAATGAGTTCAATTGAACATTTCTTTTTGTTTCATTTTTTCAATTGAGGCATCATGTTGAATAACCCTGATATGTATCACATTTTCTCAAGCTTTCTCATTTTTTGTGTCAGGCAATGATTTGTTAAGTATCTGCACATATAGCCGTGATTCACTTTATATTTCTCATTGTGCATGATCGTATTCTACTATAAGTTTTGTTTCTCATTTATATTGGTACTTACAGTACGCATGCCTGTCTGTACTGATCTACCAATATAACTATGATTTAGGAAAGTAAGATTCTTCTTCCAATGCTAGCAGTATCCCGAAAGAAGTTGTCTGCACTCTGCAGGTGCTTCTTGCAATAGTGAATTTTGACTTCGATTCACTGACTATTTCTTAATTGTCCATTAGCATATCTCGGCTTCTTTTTTCATTTCCTTTTTAGATTCCTACAAATTTCTCTTCTTTAGGAACTACTGAGATGATTCTGGTTTTGTTTTGGAACTCTGTTACCACCTTGAGACTGGATTGATAAGAGAGTAAGCACTGCAGTATAGAAGGTTTTAGAAACTTATCGGAGGAAAGAGGAATCAAAAGGGTCTTATGATTCTTCTGAGAACCAAGTTCTCTTGTAAAGTCATGAACTAGCTGAGTCGATCTGTTGATGTCAGTTCCCGTAGGAGCAATAGTGTGTGTGTGTGTGTGTGTGTCTTACCTACCAAAAAGAGGAGTTGATGCCGGTGTGGTGTTGAATATCATAACTACTGGCTGTTCTGACTTGTATTTCGTTTGATGTTTCTTAGCATGGTTGATATATCCCAGGGCATTTGTAGCTTGTGGCTGTCTATGATTCTGCATTTCAGCCTCTCTTTTTTTAGCAGTTGGTCGGTTCTGTTTACTTCTCATTCAAGCCACCTTTGATAGTGTTATCCTCATAATCGAATTCTGCTGAGATTAGCCATAGCTGATGAGATGTGGTTAATTCTAGTTACTAAGTTTTATGTCTTCAATAGTAATTAGAGGCATGTAGATATAGTAGCTAGTGGCAAGGCCATCTTGTGAAAATTGATCCTATTTTATGTGAAAAATCGGTTGAAATTTAATTTCAAGTTGAACTGACCTAATTTCACAAACAAATGTGTGCAAAGTTTTAGCTATTCTATTCATTCATTCCAATGTGGTGGCTCAGTACCACAAGTGCATACTACATTTAGATCCCATTTTTTTTAAAAAAATGTTTTTAGTTCCTGTTTTTTTGCTTGTTGATTGTTCTGTTAATGAAATTAATTTACTTTACGGAAATTAAAAACATTCATGTTTTATTACTACCCCAAGGCAGTCCATTTCGCGTGAATGGAGCTAATAAACTTGATGGCTCTTGAAAAAGTATGGACATCATAAAAGCTCTATGTATTTATGTTACTATCTCAAATTTTGGTACAATTGTGATTCGTGTATGTTGTAATATTTTGAGTTTGATGACACAGAACATACATGCTCACAGTGCCTTGAGTATCTTATAAATTATCAGCCGCAAACCCTTAATATATTGAATCAGTTCACTGTGTCACCCAAAATCATGGGTTCAAGTTCTATCAGGACAAAATTATGTATGTTACTTGTTGGGACGATATATATATAAGTTCAAATCTTATATATTTACTCATATTATATATAAATCTTATATATTTACTCATATTATATATTATACGGAGTATATACTATTATTGTATTATGTGTATTATATTTTTATTATATATAATGCACATATATATGTGTGTATAAATATATGAGATTCATATTTGATCAAACAATTAGATAGACAAAATGAATATGTTACAAAAGTAATTGATTGGCATAAAATAGGATAATGCATGCAATAACATGTACTGGGGGCCACGAGTACAGGTAAACAATATTAGTATTGCCTCTATAGGTAAAAAAATATAAGTCCCCCCCCCAAATTTTTTTAGTTTTATATATATAATCTATTATATACATCTGATCTTTACTTCTTTTAACATATTTTAAATAAAAAAATCTTCTTTTTTTTTCAACATTCCTTGAAATATGGCTCAATTTTGGGCTATTTTTTCTTTCATTTTTTTTTTTTTTTTTTTTTGGCAGAATGGGCTTCTTTGCCACCGCGACAACGACCTCGATCTGCTTCCCTAATCACGATATGATGATGCTGGGAAGACTACTGTTATGATAAATCCATTTCCCCAACAAATATAGGTGCCCTTTCAATTTCTCTTTGATAAAGATTTTTGGTTACTATTTCTACTTTCTTGCTTTTGTTTTTAGAGTTGGGGAATATGAAATTGCTACAACTCTTTGTGTTGCTATAACTCGATTTGGAGTGGACTCTCTCTCTTAGCATAAATCTGAGTCTGAAAAGCTTGCTAAAAGATGTTCTTTCACGTTTCGACCATTCCCAAATATAAATAGACTACTTTATAAAAGTTCACTAAAACATTTACATGAGTTGCCAATGGATTTTGATTGATTATTTATGCTAAATATTTTAGTGGGAGTATTACTATTCTTAATTAATATTACTATTTACTTCTCTATATAAACATTAATTATGAATATCTGTATGTTTATACAGTTTTTGTTCATTGATATCATTTCTTGATGAGTTCGATCTAAGGAGTGACATGTTGCTAAAATTTCTTGACGAGCACACCCAAAACCATAACCAGAAAGTTAAGTCGCAATCAGACCCACCACACTTAGCTCCATGTGTGAAGAAATAATTATGAAATTATTCTTGCAAATATGTCTGACTATATTATAACGTCATCCAAAATTAATAGTCATTGAAAATAATAAAAAGAGTTAATCGGGATTTGCGCAGGGCGACTTGTCCTTAAAAAATTGTTTCTTTATGTTTTGATATTAATCGGGATTTGCGACGGTTTTCGTCTGTTTCTTTGACTCATGTGCGTCGCCAAGGTAATCGTGTAGCTCATGAGTTGGCAGCTCTTTGGCAGAATAGCTTTGGGTCGGATCAGCTTTTATTTTCTTTACCTCCTTCTGTTGTTCCTTTTGCTGTGACTGATGTTGGTTCTAAGTTTTTTGGTTGTGTTTGGTTTCTGATTGTCTTTGTCAGGAAAAAAATAATAATAATAAATAAATAAATAATAATAAAAAGAGTTAATTTATATAAAATAACATGTTGTGAGACTTGTGAATAGGACTTAGGACCAGCCGACCAGCCCACCTAATTTTTGGGCTAGTCAAACGTTTAAATACCTGTGTCGATTTGGTTCAAGGCCTTAAACAAAATACTAGTTTTAGGGTACACAGTTCATCATTCACACACTTCCAGAGAACCAGAGAGAGAGAATCAAATCACTGCAAGTCTATGAAGCTCCCCACTTTACAGGCAAGTGCTCATCTCTACACTCTTTGCTTTGATTGAAAGCATATCATATGTGTGTGTATCTTCAAGAAATGACTATATATATATGCAGAAGTCTCATCTCACTCTCTCTCAAGAACTCTTCACATCTCAACAAAACTCGAATCTCCCTTTTCTCTCTCCTCTTCTTCTCTTCCTCTCCAGAAACCCCCATTGCGGTGGCCGATTACTTGATTGAGAGACAATTTTCTCCTGAAACTGCTTCGAAAGTCTCTTCCTTCGTAAAGTATGTGAAAAGGCCTGAAGAGACCGATTCGATTCTTTCATTTCTCCAGGAAAGTGGTTTTTCGGATACTCATCTCGAGCATGTCATCAAAGTCGTCCCTCAACTTCTCTCTGCAAATCTTGAGCTCACCATCAAACCCAAATTCAAGTTTTTTCAGGCCTTGGGGTTTTTCTTCTAGCGATGTTGTGAAATTTGTTTCGTCTAACCCACGGATTCTAACTTATAGCGTTGAGAATCGGTTTGTCCCATCAATTTTAGCATTGAAGTGTGTTTTGGGTTTGAATATGGATGATGTGTCTCGGTTTTTAAAGAAATCTGGGTCTGGTAGGATTTTGAGGTATGATTTGGCGAAAACTTTGATACCCAATATTGAATTTTTGAAGAGTTTTGGTATTAGTTCGTTGCAAATAACTCAATTTGTCTATAATTGCCCAAGATTTTTCTTGCATACACCGACGAGAATTAGAGAATATGTGAAGAGGGTTGATGAGATGGGATTTGACAGGGAGTCTAAGATGTTTCTTCATGCAATTTGGACTATTAGTTCGATGACTAAAGAGAAATGGGAGTTGAAATTGGAGGTCTTTTAAGAGTTTGGCGGTTTTCGGAAGATGACATTTTGTCAGTTTATAGGAAACAGCCTCATGCTTTCACTAAGTCACAGAGGAAAATTAAGGCGATAACACAGCTTTTCCTTAGCACAGGCAAATGTGATATCTCATATGTTGGTAGTAACCCAGACTTACTTGGTTTCGGTGTTGAAAGTAGGCTTAAGCCACGGTTAAGAGTTCTGGATGTTTTGGAAAGCAGGAATTTGCTTCTTAAAAAGCCGGGTTTGGGGACTGTATGCAGGACCACTGATAAGTTCTATGAGAAATATGTACTCCCTTATTCAAATGAAGTTGGCGAATTATTTGTAGTTAAGAAGGACTCATAGAAAGCAGATATATGTGCTTAAGATCATGACATCCTTTGGGACTTCATGATTTAATACTTAGAGGCAGGCTGAGACTGAATCTTTTGTCCGAGAAGCAATGACTTGGCGGCATGGCATGGCAGGTAAGTAGGTACTCTTTTGCGCTAGATATTCAAAAAAGTTCTTTCTTGTATCCATATGCTGTACTACTTTGAAAAACATGGATTAATATTTGTTCCTTTTCTTGCCTTGCCGACTGTTTTGTTTTATGTTATGAAATTTATTTACTCTACTGAAAGTAAAAACATTCATGTTTTATTGCAACCCCAAGCTGGTTCATTTCACATGTATGGAGCAAATAAATTTGAAGGCACTTAAAGAATTGTAAATTATGAACTAGTCCAAATTTACAAAATTAGATTAGAAATATGGACATCAGAAGACTTTTTATGTATTTGTATTACTATCTCAAAATTTGGGTACAAGTGTGATTCATGTCTATGTTTTCATGACAGTGAATTAGTTATCTATTTGGCTACAAATTTCAGAATGTCTTTATAAATTTGTACCAGCCGTAATTCCCCAATATTTTCACTATCCTTGGGTCAAGAAAACAAAGATTCAATTCGTTTTACTTGCAGATAGTTCTGAATGTTTCAAAAGAATTCTAATTAATTAAGGTGTATGCTTCACCTTTTTAGCATTCCTAATATAGTAATATATATCTTTCTTTTCAGTTAAAAGATTTTCTCCGAATTAATTTTTTGATATTTTTCAATGTGATCCATTTGCTGAACGAGGGATCCATTTCAAAGACACCTGCTCCAATATATATTACACCAAGAGATGTTGTCGTCCACCACAATTCCAGATCCCTGGAAGAGATAACGTTGTCCACCACAATTCGAGATGCCTGCAAGGATGGAAGAGACAATTCAAGATGCCTGCAAGGATGGCAGACATAACGTTGTCCACCACAATTCGAGATGCCTGCGAGGATGGCTGACGTTGGGAAATAGCCCTTACAATCTCCTTCCAACACCACCAATGAGAAATCCCACTCAAAAATGATACGAAGACTTTTTGGAAGAGCCAATTCGAGATGCCTGCAAGGATGGAAGAGACAACGTTGTCCACCACAAGATGCCTGCAAGGATGGAAGAGATGACACCACAATTCGAGATGCCTGCAAGGATGGAAGAGATGACATCGTCCACCACAATTCGAGATGCCTGCAAGGATGGAAGAGATGATGCATCCACCACAATTCGAGATGCCTGCAAGGATGCCTGACATTGGAAAATAGTCCTTACAATCTCCTTCAAACACCACCAATGAGAAATTCCACTCAAAAACGAGACGAAGCCTTTTTGGAAGCACTGGAGCGTGGAACACCATAAGTACCAGCCAATGCTCTACAAAGAGTAGAAAAAGATTTTCAAACAAAAATACCACATATTTTCACTTGGAGTTACTTAATCACATATTTTTGTTATTTTTCCTCTAATCTTGTGTAGTTAATTAAATATTTAGTTTTTAATGTACATAACTAATCATTTTTAATACTCCAAATTTTTTCCGGATGTCTTCTTTACTTGTTTGAACGTTGTTTAAGGTCCATTTTTCACTCTCTATTATTAGCATTAAAAAATAGTGAAGGCGGCAAGGGAAGTCTGATCGGACTCGTGCCTCTTCCTCTTTACTCTCTATATTTCCATATTCAATTATGGAGATGGTGAAAGAGTTTGGTTTTTTTTGGGGTGTTGTGTCTAATTTGGCAGAGCTTGAGCCATTTCTTAAAGATAATTTACTATAGTTTCAAAGCGTTGCACAATACCCCCTCTCCTTGTTTGTTATTTATTTAAATTTTTTTATTTTTTGTAAAAATTAGATTTTGATGTCCAATGCTAAATAAAATTACGTTAAAGTGACCACTGGCTAAACAAAAACAAAAGATAAATAGTCACTAATTTCAAAACTTAGTTACTAATAAGTGACCTTTTAAAGATAATTTAATCAAATCAAGAAAAATTCAATAATGTTAGGGCTTTAATTGGACAGTGGATCAATACTCTCACAAGCTTCCAATTAAAACTTCACTGCTAAAGATTAATGTAGAGTCGGGCTACAATTCGGAGGAGCGAGCCTCATCTTCTACAGACAACTCAACAACCACTTTTTTTCATGGACCCAAAAGAACAGCCATGCAAGGGCTTTGCATCTACTATCCATTAAAATTCCACAAGCATAGGACCCATTCTTTGTGGATGATGCAAGTATTACAATAACCGAACTAAATTGATTATCTCTGAAAATGGTATACAAGTCTTGTCTCACTTCAACTTCATATCAAAATTGGAAAGACAAAAAAAATGCCAAACAAGCCCCTAGCCCTAAAACATGAACTGGTAGTCTGGTAGATACGGTACATAATAAAGAATCGCAAGCCTAGAACTAAAAATTACAAGAAGCAGAGAAAAGGGTTTTGCAGATAAAACATGAAGACTTTTTGATACATATTGTTCACGCGGTTTTTGTTCCCTACGCCGGTCGATGGACTCTTCGCGGGCGTGCCAGAGTATTTGTACAAAATACCCAAAATATGTAATTGAACACCAGCCTATCCCTTTTTCCGATGGCTGACTCTCAGGCGATTGTGTGGGAGAGAGACTAGTAAGAACTCCCAGCAAGGTTCTTTTATGCCTTGTTTGTAGCAAGGACTTTTTAGAGTGTCTAAAGAAATGCAACGGCTGATGAATGTTTGAATGGATGGAATGGCCGAGTGAAGACAGGCGGCAAGAACTTAATCGATCGCCGGCCGAACGTGATGGCGAGAACTTAATCGATCGCCATCAGCCAAACACAATGGCAAGAATTTAATCGATCGCCACTGAAACGTGATAGCAAGAATTTAATCAATTGCCATCAGCCAAGTAATGACAAGAATTTAATCAATTGTCACTACGATTCAATGGCAAGAATTTAATCAATTGCCATTGAATTGAAAGCCTAACTAAAATTGCGTAATTAAAATTGGCATAATTGAAATTGAAAGAAAGTAAATGGCTGAATTGAAATAGTTGACAATGATCTAATCAATTGCCATTAAATTGAAATAAAGAAATTGATAGGAAAAAATAACGTAGAGTCAATTGAAAATATTTTTAGTTGAAATGCATGTTTTGTGGTGGTGCTGGACAAATTGGAATAGGAATACAATACTTCTATTTATAGAAGTTCTATCTCAACTTATTTTCCTAAGTTATTGCTAAAAAATCTCTCCTTCTTTGATTCTTTTTCTTCACAATTTGAACTCAGTCAAATCCTATTGTTATTCCGCTTCCTTTCTTGTTTTGTTTCAGTAGGAAATCTCTATAAAAACAACCTTCCTCGATTTAATCACATGTAAGTTGCCGAGATATTGCTAAAACGTTGCTAGAAAGTTACTGAAAAGTTGCTAATTTTTAGCAACTCCCCTCCTTAAGTTTAGCAGCCCGTTTCATTCCCTTAAATGGCCTAATGGCCATTTGTAACTTTTGAACTTATACGGCTATTCCTTTCTTGTTGAAATTCCTACTTCATTGGGATTTAGTTATTTATTGTAACTAAATCTCTTAAGTCTTCTCTTTTGAATTGATGACATATTTGAATTGATTCAAATCTCTACAAATATATTTAGCAACAACCTTATCAACAAAGTAGCTGAAATATATTTGCCTAGATTTTCTCCTTTTGTCTCTCTATTGGCCGACTTCCCTTAAGACATAATAAACACTTGTCAATTTCTCATTGGTCCACGTCATCGCTAAGATGGCTGCCAGTTTTTGGTGCCAACAAATGCCCCCTGAATTTCAAATGTCTTATCGGCCACTCAGGCCGATAAGATTTTTGGAATTTTAAAATGTATTGAAAAGAAACTGGCAGCTTACGAGTTTCTAAACTTTATTTCTTCCGGGCCACCTCAAGTTGGTCTTTATTTTGCGTCAGCCAGAACTGGCCGATCCTGGTTCTTCCATTATTCCCTTAAAGCTGGCTGATACCCCTCAAAATATTGGCTATTTATAAACCCATGATAGACCTCACCATTGAAGTTTCCCAACTCTACTAGTAAGGCATGATCGTGATCGGCCGGGATCAAGCAGTTATGTAATGTCATTTGGGCCGATCTAACTGGCTTCTGTTTTGAAAGAACAAAATTCTACCAGTATGGAGCTTTTCTGATGGCTGATCCTCTTGAATTTTTATACTCCCATGGAGCTTCTGAAAGTACGCTATCCCATGTTTTTGAATAGTCATTTTCTTTGATGACTTCAGCTATATCAGCCAAAAATACCAAGAATAGTATTTCTTTTGTGGCCGATTTTTTATCTGCCGGGGTAAGCTTTTAGAATGCCAGCGGCTATGGCCTTTCTCGTCCTTGATTTTTTATTTGGCACCTCAACAGCTAGCCGATGAAACATTATCTTCAGCCAAAATACCTTTCTGACTAACCTTTTAGAGTTAATATCAGCTAGACTTCTTTTCATTATGGCCGATATTGGTCGCCCCATTTTATTTTCTTCATGTAGCACTGCATCGGCCATGCAAAATTTTGCATTAATTGGCCGATTCATTTTCTTCCGCGAATTTCTTCTCCACTTAACCCTTTTTAGTTTCCATCCCCGCTTTCTTTTCTTGAAATTCGGTTGAGAACGACAGGCTAAAAGAATTCTCTTAGTCAATGATGATTCTGGCTGAGGATTAGATACCACTCTCGGCCAAGTATTCTGGTAATCTAGCCGATTTAATTCTGAAATTCTTTTACCTTTCTCGTGTTGTATGAGAGCCTTAACATTCGGAATGGCTGATGGTGTACTCTCGGTAACCTTAGGCTGATTCCCTTCATCAACCTTCCTTTTGGGAGCCTGGCCGATCACATTACTACCTGGTATGAAAATATCATTGTCGACCTCCATGACTTCATCATCTGCTCCCTTTTTGGCAGATATGGTAGATGTTTGAGTGTCGGATGTGGCTGATTTTGGCTTTTTGTACATTGGTCGACCTATTCGCTTAAGGCCATTACCATATTCTTGCTTAATAGGATCAGCCAACTGAACCTTATCGACCGTCGTTGGCTGATTAAGATAATCAATGACCGGTCGATCTTGATTTACCACCAGTGGCTGATTATAATTCGGCCAACGTTCTGGCTGATTATAATTTAGCCAGCTTTCTGGCTTATCTTTGATCATTTTTTCAATGATCTCTATTAAAATTTTGTTTGAAAATTCGGCCTGGCCATTTGCTTGAGTATAGTATGGCGTAGAGGCTGACATATGAATATTCATGTTGTGGCCGAATTGTAGTACATCAGTTGCCCTAAATACTGTTGCATTGTCTGAAACAAGTGTTTCTGGAATCCCAAATCTGTGGATGATGTTTTGTTCCATGAAATTAATCACTGTTTGCTGATCAACCGCTTTGCAAGCCTTGGCCTCAACCCATTTAGTAAAATAATCTGTGGCAACAATCACCCAGTGATGGCCTTCGCTTGATGGTGGATTAATTTTACCAATAAGGTCAAGGCCCCAACCTCTGAATGGCCAAAGTTTGATTATTGGCTGTAATTCTTTTGCTGGTACATTTTGAATCGGCCTATGTCTTTGACAAGCTTGACAACCTTTTGAGTAATTTATGCAATCTTTCCTCATCCTCGGCCAATAATATCCATACCTGCGAATCAACCATCTCATTTTAATCCCAGCTTGGTGAGCCCCACAGCTGCCCTCATGTACCTCGGCCATAACCTGAAGTGATTCCTCCTTGCTTATACATTGTAGTAAGAGCCCATCTTCTAACCCTTTTCTGTATAGATCCCTGTCTAGAAGCACAAAGTTGATCGCTTTTCTTTTAATACTTCTATCAGCCTTAATGTTTGGATTTCGAAGAAACATTATAAATGGTATCCTCCAGTCATCGTCGGCCAAATCTTCTACATCAATTGTCCAAGTAACAAACAACATAGTATTTCTCAATTCGGCCGATGGCAAAGATCTTCGTGTTATCTTTATTAACTGATCTTCTATTCCAGCTGGTACTCTTATTCCAGAGGCTGCTTGGGCCATGCTGTTGGCCTCCTTATTCTGCCCTCTCGGCCAGAACTTAAGTTGAACATTATCAAATTGATTAATTAATGAAGTGGCCAGAGAATGAAACGGCCTTAATTGCCAACTTAGGCACTTAAAATCTTCAGAAATTTGGCTAAGGACTAAGTTTGAATCTCCCAAAATCTTTACATCTCTAACAGTCATTTCAATTAAAATCTCCAGGCCGATTATAAGCGCTTCATATTCGGCCTGATTATTTGAACATTTAAAATCTAAAAAGAAAGAGAATGAAACCTTTCTGCCAGCTGGCAAAATAATAACAATACCTGCTCCTGCTCCATCAGCCGTGCTTGATCCATCAAACATCAAGATCCAAGAAGTTAAGAATATAGCTGATAACTCCAATTCATCATAAACCCATGGATCAATATCAGTTGAAGGATGATCGGCCAAAAAATCAGCCAGAACCCTTCCTTTTACTGATTTTTGTGGGACGTAGATAAAATTGAATTCCATCAAAGCCAAAGCCCACTTACCTATTTGGCCAGTGATCAATGGCCTTGATAGCATATACTTGATCACGTTAGTCTGACAAAGAATGTAAACATCAACAGGCCGCATGTATACTATCAACTTCATGGCCGAATAGTACAAAGATAAACAAAGCTTCTCAATTGAGGAATATCTGCATTCTACATCAGTTAGTACTCTACTCAGGTAGTAGACAGCCTGCTCCTTTCCATGTTCATTGTCTTGTGCGAGCATACTACCAATTGATTCTTCTGCGGCTGATAAATAAAGCTTTAACGGCCACTTCTTTCTTAGAGGCATTACAACCGGGGGGTTTGCCAAATACTCTTTTATTTTGTCAAAGGCCTTCTGATGGGATTCGTCCCAATGAAATTTCTCATGTGACTTTAATTTCACTAAAGTCGAAAAGACATGCACTCGGCTAGCATGGTTAGAAATAAATCTTCTAAGAAAACCTACCTGGCCGAGGAACCTTTGCACTTGTTTTTTGTTGGCTGGGACCCTAGCATTTATAATAGCTTTGACCTTATTCTGATCAACTTCAATACCTCGTTTATGTACCAAGAACCCCAAGAAATTCCCGGCTGAAACTCCAAATGCACACTTCAATGGGTTCATTTTCAATTTGTGAATCCTCATCCTTTCAAAGGCCCTTTTCAAGTGTTCCAAATGCTGTCTCTTAGCCGATGATTTCACAACCACATCATCTATATAAATTTCCATGAATCGGCCAATCATATCATGAAAGATAGAATTCATTGCCCTTTGATAAGTAGCCCCAGCATTTTTTAGGCCAAATGGCATCACAATCCACTCAAAAGTACCAATTGACCCAGGACATCTAAAAGCCGTTTTATGAACATCCTCCTCGGCTAAATAGATTTGATTGTAGCCTGAATGGCCGTCTATAAAAGACAATATTTCATGCTTAGCGGCCGAATCAATAAGTTGATCGACCACAGGCATTGGATATTCATCTTTTGGAGTGGCATTATTTAAATTGCGAAAATCCACACAAACTCTAAGTTTGCCATTCTTCTTCATTACAGGAACAACATTAGACAACCATTCAACATACCTAACTGTTCGAATAAATCCTGCCTTAAGAAGTCTTTCAATTTCTTCTTTAATTTTGAGCATTACTTCCGAAGACATCCTTCTTGGTGGTTGTTTATATGGCTGAAAATCTTTCTTGATCGGTAATCTATGTTCTACCAATTTTCTAGACAGGCCAGGCATCTCTTCATAACTCCAAGCAAAGCAATCCTTATATTCATTTAATTATTTAATCAAATCGGCCTGGAATTTGGGCTCAAGCAAAGCACTAACAAATAATGGCCGATTATCTTTTTTAGTACCAACATTTATTTCCAATAAAGGATCTTGCACCTCTGCTTTATTATCTTCCATCCTAGAAGGGGCTAACTCCAAATCTTCAAGTTGGATTGCATCCAGTTTTTCGAAACCCTCTTCAATTATATCGGCCGTGCTGGCCGATACCTCTTCATATAGTTGTTCTTCTCTGGCCAGTCTCTTCTCAGCCAGATATGCTTTCAGTCTGATGCAAGCGGCCCTGAAAGCTTGCCGCTTCTTTTCTTCATTGGTTTTGTGATCCATCAGTAACATCTTCAATGTCCTTGATGGTCGACCTGAAAATATCAACTTTCGGCCGAGCTGCTTCTGACAATAATTCTTTAATATCAGCATTAATTAAATTCTTCTTCATTGTTGCCGCTGCTGGTCGTCCCATCCTGTTAATGCCAACAAATTTGATAGGTACAACAGTTTCATCATAAAGTGCAGCCTCAGCCGAATACACCCTAGCTATAAAGGGTTTGTTATCGGCCTCAACAATTTTTACCTCATTTTCGTCCCAAAAAATCAACATTCGATGCAAGGTTGATGGGATGCACATGTTAGGATGAATCCAATCTCGGCCTAAAAGGAGATTATAGGCCGCGGTTAAATCAATGATAAAGAAAGCCGTAAAGGATGTCTTACCGCCAATAGTAATTTCCAAAGGTAGAATACCTTTGGTGTTACTAGATCCTCCATTAAAACCACTGATGGCCACGTCGGTTGGAACTACATCATCCATGGTTTTACCCAATTTCTTCAAAGTAGTTGATGGAATGACATTCACCACCGAACCATTGTCAACCAAAACCCTATTGATTGGCTGACCCTCAACCCATACTTTAACATACAACGGCCTCAACTGCTGTGTCATGGACAAAGGTGGTTTTTCAAAAATAATTTTATCGGCCTCAGATGGCTGATCCTGAGAGATCAATCCTATCCCGGCCGATGAACTTGTCGAATCGTTCTTAATTTCTGAAGATTCAGCCTTTTCTTCCTGCTTGGCTGACTCAACATCCCTGTTCATCGTTGGTTCTATCCTTGCTTCAAACACAGAAGGCAAAACAAATACCATGTTACAATTTACCTTATCCGGGAGAGAACCAAAACGAATTCTGTACTTGGCCGCATGCTTTGGATCCTGGTCGGGCTGATCATCTTTTTCTTCATAAAAGCATGTCTTATTCTCAAAGGATGTAACGACCTCCATGTCTTCAGCCACCACTGGTTCAATTTTCCTTTCTAGTTGATCATGGTCGATCTTGTCTTCTTTCCTTTTGAGTTCTGCATTTTTCCTTTGCATCCTCCTTTTTTGGGTACGTGTAGGAGGCTACTTAGGAAACTTTGGGTGACTTACTCGAGTCCATCTGCCATGGTCAACCAAAGGAGGCCTAACCGTTCTTACACGGCTAGATTCTTCTCCTTTTTGAACCCATATTTCTGACTGAATTGTTGGTTTCCTTTTGAAACTAGGATAAAAATGTTGTTCTGGCAGGACTCTATCGGCCACCGATGACCGAATGATTCTCACTGCCCTCGGCCCATTTTCTCTAAATATTGATCGATTGATTTCTTCGTGATTCTGTCTAGGCTGATGGCCTAACCTTTCATGGACACTGCATTTTCTGGTTGATTGGAAATAGTCCTTCTTGTCTGAGTCATTCCTTCGGCCTTTGCAATTTGGACAACAACCATGGTTGATAAGGGCAATTTGAGCTTCTCTTAACTGAATTTCCAAGTCCTTAACTTTCTGCTCATCATTACTGGCCGATGAACTACCAAGAACTTTTGGTAATCTTTCCTGTCTACAATTATCAGCGGCTTTTTCAGTTGCCAGGCTGATTACATTGGTACTGACAATATTAGGAAATAGATCGCCATCGACCCCCATTACATCTGGCTTCTTTTCAGGGAATTTCAATACACCTTCATCGATAGATTTCTGCAATACATTTCTAAATACATAACAATTGTTAGTAGTATGATTCCATGAATTATGAAATTTGCAGAACTCTCTTCCTTTTAAATCATTGGTCGATGGTATATTATGTCCTTTTGGCAAAACGATTTGTTTGTCGGCCAACAAATGATAAAAAATTTGTTCTGTTTTGGCCAGATCAAACGTATAAACCTTACCAATATCAGCCGTACCCTTCCTGGCCGATGAAGTCGATGGCTGAGTACCACTGGTGGATACATTTGGTTTTGTTAAAGCGTCACATACATAAGGTTTCTTTAGAATGACTTCGGCTAAATTAGCTTCAAAATCTTCCTCTTCAACCACATCAGTTGAATAAACTTCATAGTTGGGGTCCCTATAGTACGTACCTTTAGAGGAATTTTTTCGTTCTTTCTCCTCTTTGAGAACCAACTCATACCTGGTAGCTTTCTCGGCCAGGTCATACATGTCACGAAATGGAACTCCTTCAAATCTCTTCCGAAGTTCAAAATCAAGGTCGTTCAAAGCCAAACGAATGTACTCCTGTTCTGGAAGAGGTACACGACATCTTAATCTTGCTCTCCTGAATCTTGCAATAAATGTCTCGACCGATTCACTAGGCAATTGACTTAGCCTGGATAAATCGGCCAGAGTAGGTTCTGTCTCCGTACGGTAGAACTGATTGTGGAATAATTCCTCCATCTGTGGCCAATTAAAAACAGAGTTAGGAGGTAGACGAATATACCATGAAAAAGCTGCCCCTGTCAAAGAGTTAGGAAAAAGTCTCAATTTCAACCACGGGCTAACACTGGCCTCTCCACATTGAACCGTGAATCGGCCAATGTGTTCCACGGTCGATTGATTTCCCTCTCCACTAAAGGTTACAAAGTCAGGGACTTTATATCCTCTAGGGAACTCAACTTGGTCTACCACTTCTGGATAAGGAGTTCTATAAATTGGTCGGCCGGCACCTCTAAGTTCCAGGCTATATTCTTCTGTGAGTAAATCAGCTAATTGTCTTCTATCTAACATGACTTGAGGTGGCTGATTTAATATTGGTGGTACCTGATTAAAAACTGGCGGCTGATTAGACGCTGGTTGATAGCAATTCGGCCAATCATGTGGCTGATTAGCCATATTCTGCCCCCCGAGCCCTACCTGTGGCGGCACATGAGTATACAGTGGGTTCGGTGGCCTCCACCTGATCTGATTGCCCCCCGAGTTCAAAGGCATCCGAGGAGGGTTTGGTAGAATTACCTGTGGCTGCGAACCTACTACTGGTGGCTGATTAGAACCTGCCAACGTAAGCTGAGGATAGCTTTCTGCCCAGGTGAGTAGCGTATGAACCGGCTGACTTGATGTTGTACCTGGTTGGAGTGTCACTACTGGCGGCCATGGCTGTGATGTTTCAATGGCCCTCTCTGGCCGAGCAGCTTGTGATAGATTCGGCTGAGAAGCCGATTCCTGATTGTTGGAGCTGCTAGCTTGAGTCGGCTTGTTCAAAATAAAGGCTGAGAGTTGGGACATATTTTCATGCAAGTCGTTGTAGCGTGCTCCCATCCTTCCCATTGCATCTACCAAGGAGCTAACCTGTGCTTGAAGAACGGCTAACTCATCAGTAGGACCTGCTGCAGAGTTCTCAGCCTGTACTGGCTGATCGCCTTCCTCCAAATCTTCATCAGTAGCCACGGCCTTAGAATTTTTTGTGAGCCGTGGCATATTTGCCTCTTTTATAACACTCTAGTAGTTGTCCCACCGGGCGTGCCAAAACGTGTTCGCGCGGTTTTTGTTCCCTACGCCGGTCGATGGACTCTTCGCGGGCGTGCCAGAGTATTTGTACAAAATACCCAAAATATGTAATTGAACACTAGCCTATCCCTTTTTCCGATGGCTGACTCTCAGGCGATTGTGTGGGAGAGAGACTAGTAAGAACTCCCAGCAAGGTTCTTTTATGCCTTGTTTGTAGCAAGGACTTTTTAGAGTGTCTAAAGAAATGCAACGGCTGATGAATGTTTGAATGGATGGAATGGCCGAGTGAAGACAGGCGGCAAGAACTTAATCGATCGCCGGCCGAACGTGATGGCGAGAACTTAATCAATTGCCATCAGCCAAACACAATGGCAAGAATTTAATCGATCGCCACTGAAACGTGATAGCAAGAATTTAATCAATTGCCATCAGCCAAGTAATGACAAGAATTTAATCAATTGTCACTACGATTCAATGGCAAGAATTTAATCAATTGCCATTAAATTGAAAGCCTAACTAAAATTGCGTAATTAAAATTGGCATAATTGAAATTGAAAGAAAGTAAATGGCTGAATTGAAATAGTTGACAATGATCTAATCAATTGCCATTAAATTGAAATAAAGAAATTGATAGGAAAAAATGACGTAGAGTCAATTGAAAACATTTTTAGTTGAAATGCATGTTTTGTGGTGGTGCTGGACAAATTGGAATAGGAATACAATACTTCTATTTATAGAAGTTCTATCTCAACTTATTTTCCTAAGTTATTGCTAAAAAATCTCTCCTTCTTTGATTCTTTTTCTTCACAATTTGAACTCAGTCAAATCCTATTGTTATTCCGCTTCCTTTCTTGTTTTGTTTCAGTAGGAAATCTATATAAAAACAACCTTCCTCGATTTAATCACATGTAAGTTGCCGAGATATTGCTAAAACGTTGCTAGAAAGTTGCTGAAAAGTTGCTAATTTTTAGCAACTCCCCTCCTTAAGTTTAGCAGCCCGTTTCATTCCCTTAAATGGCCTAATGGCCATTTGTAACTTTTGAACTTATACGGCTATTCCTTTCTTGTTGAAATTCCTACTTCATTGGGATTTAGTTATTTATTGTAACTAAATCTCTTAAGTCTTCTCTTTTGAATTGATGACATATTTGAATTGATTCAAATCTCTACAAATATATTTAGCAACAACCTTATCAACAAAGTAGCTGAAATATATTTGCCTAGATTTTCTCCTTTTGTCTCTCTATTGGCCGACTTCCCTTAAGACATAATAAACACTTGTCAATTTCTCATTGGTCCACGTCATCGTTGAGATGGCTGCCAGTTTTTGGTGCCAACACATATTTTATGTATTTTTCTTGTTTCAATTGTGGGAATCTACTTTCCAACTCTCTTCAAGTGGATTTTGTGATACCCCCAATTTTCGAACACGACTTGATTAAGTCCTCACCAAAAAATCGGAAGAGATCAAAATAATTAATATTTTAAAACAAGCACATAATGCAAGAAGAAATACAAATAAAATAATATAATATCTGAAAGGAAAACTAAATAACCAAAATCTCTAATTAAATTCAATAAAGGATAAATTATAATTATCTTAAAACTCCGAAGTACAACTCGGGAATCCAAACAAGGACCCCTAAATAAAACCATAACTGAAAACGACAAATAATTGTCTAAGTTTGAGAAATAAATAGAACTGCAATAATGTCCTACATTAAAGATCCGGAAGAGTGATGAAGAGCAGTCTCTGATCTGCACAAACAATTCTATGTCTGAAACTGACGCGAATCTGAAAAATAAAAGTGTGGGTCAGATTAACGAATAAGTTCTTTTTACTAAAACCCAACTAAAGAACCGATAAACTATACAAGTTAGTTCATTTTTATACAAATTAGTTTATTTTTAAACAATGACGGCAGTTTTTGTACATAAAAGTTTTTGTGAAATTTCTAAATTACCCTCATATTTTTAGAGTTTTTAATAAAAGAATAATAGATAAACTAAAAGACCATTATTGCCCTAATATTTAGGGAAAATGAATGGTGCTAACTAATTTAAGGGTGATAATAAAATTGATATAGATGCAGGTATGCTTGTTATAATATTTATGTTAATATTAGTTAAATAGCGCGTGAGTTGAATAATATCGTTTTAACTAGTTCAAGCATTGTAGAATTTGTATATATATACCCTTGAATAGGCATTTTGTCAACAAATTTTTAAATTTTAATAAACAACAGTTGCACAATCACTAATACTTAAAATGCCATTCTCCAATTATTTCTAATTAATGTCTTCTTTAATATATTAAGTTCTTTCTCTTTTCCAATGATGTCATTGTATTTATCATACTACCAATTAGAACAATAAATCATATTATTTGACACTAAAATGCTAATGAGGTTGGAATCCTATAAAATGTTAGGAGTAAATAGAAAATTTTTAGTAAAAAATTTAATGCATATATAATTATTATTTTTAGTTATGACTTCGTATGAAAATGAAGAAAGAAACTAAATTCAACCCTTTTAATAATGTCAAATTACTAAGGCCTTGCTTGTTTATCACAATAATTATTATTTTGGTTGATAAAGAACGAAGCAAAGATCATAGAGGGCTAGTTTGGTCTAATAAAATAATATGTTAAGGTTAAAAAAGTTAATTCCATGATTCAAATAGGCCAACTAACAAATGACAATAATGTCAATTCCCTGTATATCTGATGTGGAAGGAGACCATTGGGAGTATCTTTGTTTAAAAATGGGTCAACTTAAACATCAGCAGGTGTGAGCGTAATTTACACACACACATATAATTGCCTATTGGGGAGAGAGATTGGGCAGAGTACGAATGTTGCTGTGTGTAATTGGGGTACCAAATGGGTTCTTACATGGAAAGGGGACGCAACGGTAATATGCAAGGGCACTTTTGCCATTATATATATAAAAAAAAACAAGTCTTGTGTATCTCTAACCATCGAAAAGTAAGTGTGTAACTTGAGTTGGGTAACTCGAATCCAACCTAAACCCAGTGATTTTTTACGAATTTGGACAATTATTTTTACAATTAGAGTTGGGCTTTGGTTAAAATGCTAGCAGCCCGAACCCGAATTGTAGTATTATTTATATATATATTTTTATTTTTAAATACATTATATGTAATATTTAAACTATGATAACTTTTTTTTCTTTTCAACTTTTTTTTTTTTTTGTTAAATCTTAACTTATTGTATGTTAACATTTATGAAAATTAATTTTTCAAAATTTTGTTTGTAATTTATTAAAAATCTACAAAAAAGTCTTTAAACTTCTTCTTGTTTTAAGAGTAATTTAATCTAAAACTAATTCAAGATCATATTAAATTTTCGGTATAAAGATTAACCATACGAGTAACCCGAATTAACCCAAGTTTTAAACCGAAATCTAAGCTCGAGTTGCAAGTCCGAATTTAAAAGTAGAAGGATGTGTTGGACTTGGGTTGAGTAGTTAAAGTTGAGGGTATGGTTAAAGTTGGGCTTAGATTTAATATTTTATATGGTGAGTTGGGCTCAAATTATATCTCAAATCCGCCCAACTCACCCGAATTGCAGCCCTAACAAAATGTAGCCTTAGGGGATTGCCAAGGGGTAACATGCTCCTTTTTTCATATATGGGGGTTTGACATGCTTAAAAAAAATAGTTCAGGGGTTATATTGCAACTTTTAAATGGGGTTTAAGAACTTTTGCGTTGATATTATTTCCCTTAATTCAGTTCATGAAAATTAAATAAGAGACATTTATATCATTTAATTCAAAAAAAAAAAAAAAAAATAGAAGAAGGAGAAGAAGGAGGTGTATTTTTATCAATTACCTAGTAATTATTATTATGTTTTATTATTATTTTTTTTCATTAGCAAAAAATTTACACATCTATTTGTCACTATGGGATGAAATTCTACTAGGATACAATGCCTCCAAAATTAGTAGTCAACGAAAATAAGGGTTAATTTATGTAAAATAACATGCTGTAAGACTTATATGAAACAAACCTAATTATAAGAGCAAATTTTGAGGAAGACTTTTGTTTTTTCAACTTGAGAAAGACTTTAGGCAACAAAATTCAAGCGTATACACAAGTTAGGAATTTAGGACTTAAAAGTGAAATCTAAACCCATGTTGCAAGCTCGAATTTAAAAGTGAGAGAATGAGTTGAACTCGGGTTGAATTAGTAAAGTTGAGGATATGATTAGGGTTGGGCTTGGATTTAGTATTTCATATGGTGGGTTAGATTCAAGTTATACTTCAAATCCGCCCAACCCGCCTGAGTTGCAGCCCTATCGAAAAGTAGCCTTTGGGGACTGCCAAGGGGGTAACATGCTTCAAAAAAAAAATAGCTCAGGGGTTATATTGCAACTTTTAAATGGGGTTTAAGAACTTTTGCGTTGATATTATTTTCCTTAATTCAGTTTATGAAAATTAAATAAGAGACATTTGTGTCATTTAATTCAAAAAAAATAAAAATAAAAAAAAAAAAAGAGAAGAAGAAGAAGAAGAAGGTGCATTTATCAATTATCTAGTAATTATTATTATGTTTTATTTACTTTTCATTAGCAAAAAATTTACACATCCATTTGTCCCTATGGAAGGAAATTCTACTAGGATACAATGCCTCCAAAATTAATAGTCAATGAAAAGAAGGGTAAATTTATGTAAAATAACATGCTGTGAGACTTATATGAAACAAACCTTATTATAAGAGCAAATTTTGAGAAAGACTGTTTTTTTAAACTTGAGAAAGACTTGAATAAGCAACAAAATTCAAGCGTATACACAAGTTAGGAATTTAGGGCTTGGGACCAGCCCACCTAATTCATGGGCCGGGGCTTCCACACAATCAGATGTGGATTTGGGTTTAAGGCCTTAAACCTAACAGAATTCAAACTAGGTTCAGGGCACACTCTTCATCATTCACACACTATCAGAGAACTATACACACACAGAAAATCGAATCACTGCAAGTCTATGAAGCTCACCACTTTACAGGCAAGTACTCATCTGTACACTCTTTGCTTTGATTGAAAGCATAATATATACGGAGTATATAATACATCACTGTGTTTCTTCAAGAAATGGCTATATATATCTGCAAAAGTCTCATCTCTCTCTCTCTCAACAACTCTTCACACCTCAACAAAACTCGAATCCCTCTTCTCTCTCTCCTCTTCTTCTCTTCGTCTCCAAAACCCCCCAGTCCGGTGGCCGATTACTTGCTTGACAGACACAAATTTTCTCCTGAAACTGCTTCGAAAGTCTCTTCCGTCGTGACGTATCTGAAAAGGCCTGAAGAGACCGATTCGATTCTTTCATTTCTCCAGGAAAGTGGTTTTTCGGATTCCCATCTCGAGCTTGTCATCAAACGCATGCCTCAAGTTCTCTCTGCAAATCTTGAGCGCACCATCAAACCCATATTCAAGTTTTTTCAGGACTTGGGTTTTTCTTCTACCGATGTTGTGAAAATTGTTTCGTCTAACCCACAGATTCTGATTCGTAGAGTCGGTAATCGGCTTGGCCCGTCGATTTTAGCATTGAAGAGTGTTTTGGGTTCGAATATGCATGATGTGTCTAGGGCTTTAAAGGCATCTGGGTCTGCGTGGTTATTAAGGTATGATTTGGCGAAAAATATGATACCCAATATTGAATTTTTGAAGAGTTGTAGTATTAGTTCATCGCAAATAGCTGGATATGTCTATATTTACCCAACATTTTTCATGCGTAAACCGACGAGAATTAGAGAATATGTGAAGAGGGTTGATGAGATGGGTTTTGACAGGAAGTCTAAGATGTTTCTTTCTGCGATTCGGACTATTAGTTCGATGACTAAAGAGAATTGGGAGTTGAAATTGGAGCTCTTCAAGAGTATGGGGTTTTCGGAAGATGATATTTTGTCAGTTTTTAGGAGATTACCTCAGGTGTTTGCTGTGTCAGAGAGGAAAATTAAGGCAATAACACAGTTTTTCCTTAGCACGGGCAAATGTGATATCTCATTTCTTGTTAAGAACCCAAATTTACTTCTTCTCAGTGTTGAAAATAGGCTTAAACCACGTCTAAGAGTTATGGAGGTTTTGGAAAAAAGGAATTTGCTTCTTAAAAAGCCAAGTTTTACGACTGTATTCCAGAGGAGTGATAAGAAGTTCTTTGAGAAATATGTACTCCCTTATTCAGATGAAGTTGGTGAATTATTCGTGGTTAACAAGGCCTCATCGACAGCAGAAATATGCGCTTAAGATTATGACAACCTTTGTGACTTCACAGTTGAATACCTAGAGGCAGGCTGAGATTGATTTTTTTTTTCCCTAAAAGAAAATGACTTGGTGGCATTGCATGGCGGGTAAGTAGGTACTCTTTTGCAATAGAAATTCATCTTCGTTCTTTTTTCTTTTTCTTTTTTCTCTTGTATACATATGGTGTACTACTCTGAAAACATGGATTAATGTTCCAGTTAATCTTAATTTAACAGTTGTTTTTGTTTCAAATATTCAATTGAGGATTTGAAAAACATGGATTAATTCTCTCTCTCTCTCTCTGAGGGAGTCTGTGTGTGTGTGAGAGGATTTTATTTATTTTTTTCCCTGATGTCTTCTTTACTTGTTTGACATTGTTTAAGGACCATTTTTCACTTGTTATGATTATCAATATCTGACGTGGCTTCATTTTTCATTTGCTTTCCTACAAATTACCCATCTTTAGGAACTTCTGAGATGATTCTGGTTTAGTTTATGGGACTCTGTTACTACCTTGAGACTGGTTTTAGAAACTTCTCAGAGTTAAAGAGAAATTAACTTCTCTTTTAAGGATACTCTCATGAACTACCTGAGTTGATTTGTTGATGCCAGTTCCGGTTGGAGAAATAAAGAGTGTGTGTGTGCATCTTACATTCTTTCCTACCAAAAAGAGGAGTTGATGCTGGTGAGGTGTTGAATATCAAATCTAGTTGCTGTTATGACTTTTATTTGGTTTGTTGTTTGTTAGTGTGGTTTAAGAAAAAGAAAAGAAAAAAAATCTGTTTTTTTGTTTATTTTACTTCTCATCACAATAATTAGTCAACAGAATAATTAGTGTAGTTGGATTTATCGCCATTCCCAAGTCATTTGTAGCTCGTGGGGCGTCTATGATTCTGCATTATAGTGTCCTTTTCAGCTCTGTTCACTAGCCATCTTTGATCGTGATATCCTCAGAATTGAACTCTGTAGAAATGAACCATAGCTGATGAGATTTGGTTGATTCTAGTGTTGAGATTGTATTACCGATGTGGTGGTAGCTGAAATTGAATTTCAAGTTGAACAGACCTAATTTCACAAACAAACTTGTGCAACGTTTTAGCTGTTGTATTCATTCAATCCCATACTATTAAAGCATAGCAATTTTACTTTTCAGAAATGATACAACCAAGTATTGAGTTGCCAATATGAACAGTGTGGTGGCTCAATTTTTTTTTTTTTTTTTTAATATTATCTATTTTATCACTATTTCGATATGAAATTTATTTACTCTACCGAAAGTAAAAGCATTCATGTTTTATTGCAACCCCAACTCATTACAACATTTTTCATGCATGCAGCTAATAAACTTGACACTAGAAGAGAAGTTGATTCAAGCAGTTCAGATGAAATGACAGAGGCAAGCAGTTCAAGCATTTCTAGAATGTGTTTTATAAAGATCTTCTTCTTTATATCTGGCACCAAAATGGATAAATGGCTTTTAACAAATTTAAATGGATATATGGCTTCTATAAAGATCTTCTTCCTCTAATTTTTTAGAAGAAAATTTATATGTGCGCGCGCTTGCGCGAAGGTTAAAACCTACATTCATACATTCCCCTTCTTTTTCATGCTTTTCCCTCCTTCCAATCAGAATAGAATGTAGCAGTTCCAGTAATTAGCAATCGAAACACCATTAAATTCAACCCAAAATAGTCACTGAAATTGACATTTCTTCAGCACATAAAAGGACCAAGCAGACAAAAATAGCAGTTCCATGATGAAGATTAACAAATGTGAAACAAAAGCTGTTAATCTCTCTACAATTCAATTGACAGGCAAATTCAGCAATCACTAATCACCCACCTGTAACCCAAAATTTGTTGTTATATGCATAAAAAGTCATTCATCTCTCTCTCTCTCTCTCTCTCCACACACACACACACACCCCGTGGTGTTCAACTGCTCCTGAAAATAGTATATTCACTATTAATTGTAGCCATAGGATATAAATTAGCCTTCTTTTCCTCCTCCTCTCTCTCTCTCTCTTTCTCTCTCTATATATATATATATACACACACACATTGTGGTGTTTAACTTATCTACTTTTTTCAATTATCATTAAATATCATCAACGTAAAAGAACAAAATTAGACATTTCATTAAAAGTGACGAGAATGAGTGAATATTATTTGTGGTGAAAGAAAAATGATGAGCTACTTCTTCCTGTAGGCGAATGAGGGCAATGGAGGAGATTGGTTTTAGGGAAAGAGATGAACAGGTTCTTCTTGCTAGTGGAGGAGCTCGGCAAATATGCAGGGTACCAAGGGTTGTGAAGGAGAGATTGTGTGGCTTTCATTTTGCTACAGTGTATTATTTTTACCGCTATCGTGTAGTCCTCCAACAGTCCACTACAGTGATTTTCATAAACGCCAAAATTTATAAAATTGTGCCTTTGCTACAATGATCGTTGATGAGTGTTTAGAAAATTTATAAACAAAACAATCTTTAACAAACAAGCTTATCTTTCAAATTTGTTTAAATAAACATTAAACATAAACATAAACATAAACGGTTACCTAATGTCATATTTTTCTTTATTTTGAGTAATAATACACAACATTATCCATAATTAATAGTCAATGAAAATAATAAAAAAATGTTAATTTATTATGGGCAAAGAATGAACAAGACTAATTGGGAACAAAATTCACACACACAAACATAGGACCAGCCCACCTAACGCTTGGCCCAGTGTCAATTTGGGTCTAAAGCCTTAAACCTCCACTTGTAACTGGTAAAGCTGAAGTACTCATCTCTACGCTCTTTGCTTTACAGAGCTCGAACAAGCCACCAGGTTTAGGGCAACATTCTTCGTCCTTCGCAGGGACTCTTTGCTTTGATTGAAATCATATTATATATAATACACATCGTGTTTCTTCAAGAAATGACTATATATATCTGCAAAAGTCTCATCTCTGTCTCTCTCAAGAACTCCTCACATCTCAACAAAACCCCAATCTCCCTTTTCTCTATCGTCTTCTTCTCTTCCTCTCCAAAAAACCCCATTGCGGTGGCTGATTACTTGATTGAGAGACACAAATTTTCTCTTGAAACTGCTTCGAAAGTCTCTTCCGTCGTAACGTATCTGAAAAGGCCTGAAGAGACCGAATCGATTCTTTCATTTCTCGAGGAAAGTGGTTTTTCGGATACCCATCTCGAGCATGTCATCAAAAACGTTCCTAAAGTTCTCTCTGCAAATCTTGAGCGCACCATCAAACCCAAATTCAAGTTTTTTCAGGACTTGGGTTTTTCTTCTAGCGATGTTGTGAAAATTGTTTCGTCTAAGCCACGGATTCTAACTGGTAGCGTTGATAATCAGCTTAGCCCGTCGATTTTAGCATTGAAGAGTGTTTTGGGTTCAAATATGGATGATGTGTCCCGGGTTGTAAAGAGATCTGGGTGGTTTTTGACGACTGATTTGGCGAAAACTATGATACCCAATATTGAATTTTTGAAGAGTTGTGGTATTACTTCTTCGCAAATAACTCAATGTGTCTATAACTACCCAAGATTTTTCCTGCATAAACCGACGAGGATTAGAGAAATAGTCAAGAGGGTTGATGAGATGGGCTTTAAGAGGGAGTGTAAGATGTTTCTTCATGCCATTCGGGTTATTAGTTCGATGACTAGAGAGAATTGGGAGTTGAAATTGGAGGTCTTTAAGAGTTTGGGGTTTTCGGAAGATGACATTTTGTCAGTTTTTAGGAGACAGCCTATGGCATTTGCTGTGTCAAAGAGGAAACTTAAGGCCATAACACAGCTTTTATTTAGCACTGGCAAATTTGACATCTCATTTGTTGTTAAGAACCCAAATTTACTTATTCTCAGTGTTGAATATAGGCTTAAACCGCGGCTAAGAGTTATGGAGGTTTTGGAAAGGAGGAATTTGCTTCTTAAAAAGCCAAATTTGATGACTATATTCCAGATGAGTGATAAGAAGTTTTTGGAGAAATATGTAATCCCTTATTCAGATGAAATTGGTGAATTTTTCGTGGTTAACAAAGCCTCATTGACAGCAGAAATATGTGCTTAAGAAGTTAAGATCATGACATCCTTTGTGACTTCATGATTTAACACCTAGAGGCAGACTGAGACTGAATCTTTTTTCCTAAAAGCAATGACTCGGCGGCATCGCATGTACGACCCGTTTAGTAGATTCATATTTTGTTTTCTGTTCCTTTTCTTGCCTTGTTGATGTTTCTGTTTTCTAATTCTATCTATTTTACCACCATTATGTTATGAAATTAATTTATTCTACTGAAAGTAAAAACATTCATGTTTTATTGCAACCCCAAGTTGGTTAATTTCGCGTGTATGGAGCTAAAAAATTTGATGGCACTTAAAGAAATGTAAATTATGAACTGATCCAAATTTACAAAATTAGATTGGGAAAATTAGCTGAGTACTTCTTAATTGTCCTTCTTTAGCATATCTGATGTGGTTTTTCTTTTTCATTTTTTTTTTTTTCAATTTTTTTTTTTTTATACAAATTTGCAGTCTTTGTGAACTTCTTAGATGATAGGTTTATTTTGTGGAACTCTGTTACCTTCTTGAGATTGGATTGACAAGAGATTAAGCACTAAAGTAGAGAAGGTTCTAGAAACTTCTCAGGGCAACTTCTGTGTGTTTGTGTTTCTTACCTACCAAAAATAAGAGTTGATTGTGAGGATTTATCCCACGGCACATGTAAACCATTTAATGTTCATGAAAAAAAGGGGTCGTTCTATTTACTTCTCATTCATTGTCCACAGAATCAAACTCTGTAGAGATGACCCATAGCTGATAGTTTTACCATTGAGGTAGCTGATCTCATTCAGATGATTCTGAGGTACTATTGTTGTTACAGAATCAAACTCTGTAATATTTGATATGAGAAACCAATTGAAATTGAATTTCAAGTTGAACAGACCTAATTTCAGAAACAAAGGTGTGCAAATTGAATTTCAATATTTGATATGAAATTTACTTTTATGGTATGTTTGCGAGCACCAAATATGAAATTTACTTTTACAGATATTGATTGGAGTGAAACACAAAATTAGGGGAAGTGTGATAGTTCTTGAGAGGTTGAGAAACTGCTTCTTCAAGCATCCTCATCCTCTGTTTTGTTATTCTGTTTAAACTAACTCTACATTGTTTTGCAGTAAAATTTTCTTCAATATGTTTTCTGAAAACAAGACAACAAGCATCAAGGTAAATCCATTCATAAAATCCGTTAGTTTTGACAAGTTTCAAATGATTTTCTTTGTTATTTATTATATAAACAATCCCACATTTCTTTCAAGTATGATCATTCATTTTCATTAATGAAGTCACGCAAGCTTAAACCTAAAAAATTTTTTTGATTGAATTGGAGGACCAAGTAACTTATGCCATTGGACTATTTAATAATTTGTTAAGAAAATGACTCGATCCAAAATAGTGACATTTCTTCAGACAAATACGGTGAATTGAAAATACTATATTCATTGTTAATTGTAGCTGTAGGATATAAATTAGCCTTCTTTTCCCTATTTTAGCGAACTTATTTAATTTTTTCAACTATCATTAAATATCATCAAGCTAAAAGAACAAAATTAGACACTTCGTTAAAAGTGATGAAGATGAGTGAAAATTATCTGTGGTGAGAGAAAAATGATGAGCAGGTTCTTCCTGTTAGCGAATGAGGGCAATGGAGAAGATTGGTTTTAGGGAAAGAGATGAACAGGTTCAGAGATTGTGTGGCTTTCGTTTTGCTACAGTGAATTATTTTTACAGTTGTCGTGCAGTCCTCCAGCATTCCACTACAGTGATTTCCTAAACACAAACGCATAAACGTCATTTTGGTGTTTATAAAATTATGCCTTAGCTATAGTGTTTACAAAATTTATAAACAAAATAAATTTTACCAAACAAATTTATCCTACGAATTTGTTTAAATAAACAGTAAAGATTAAACATAAATGATTACCAAACAAATTCTAATATCACGTTTTTCTTTATTTTGAGTAATAATACACAACATCATCCATAACAAATGGTCAATGAAAATAATAAAAATTACGTAAAATAAAATGACGTGAGACTTGTGAAGCAAACCTTATTGTGGGCAAATAATGAAAAAGACTAATGGGGAACAAAACTCAAAACATAAGACCAGCCCACCTAATATTTGGGCCAGGTGGCCCGACCTTCACTAAATCAGACATTTTCAGACCAAGGCCTTAAACCCCTAGTTGCAAAGCTGAAGAACCCTAACATCATACAGATCTCCAGCCAGGTTTAGGGCAAAACTATTCATCCTTCAAACACTCTCACAGAACCAGAGAGAAAATCGAATCATTGCAAATCCATGAAGCTCCACACTTTACAGGCAAGTACTCATCTCTACACTCTTTGCTTTGATTGAAAGCATATTATATATAATACATCAGTGGGTTTCTTCAAGAAATGACTATATATATCTGCAAAAGTCTCATCTCTCTCTCTCTCAACAACTCTTCACACCTCAACAAAACTCGAATCCCTCTTCTCTCTCTCCTCTTCTTCTCTTCGTCTCCAAAACCCCCCATTCCGGTGGCCGATTACTTGCTTGACAGACACAAATTTTCTCCTGAAACTGCTTCGAAAGTCTCCTCCGTCGTGACGTATGTGAAAAGGCCTGAAGACACCGATTCGATTCTTTCATTTCTCAAGGAAAGTGGTTTTTCGGATTCCCATCTCGAGCTTGTCATCAAACGCATGCCTAAAGTTCTCTCTGCAAATCTTGAGCGCACCATCAAACCCAAATTCAAGTTTTTTCAGGACTTGGGTTTTTCTTCTACCGATGTTGTGAAAATTGTTTCGTCTAACCCACAGATTCTGCTTTGTAGCGTTGATAATCAGCTTGGCCCGTCGATTTTAGCATTGAAGAGTGTTTTGGGTTCGAATATGGATGATGTGTCTAGGGTTTTAAAGAGATATGGGGGGTTTTTGAGGAATGATTTGACGAAAACTATGATACCCAATATTGAATTTATGAAGAGTTGTGGTATTAGTTCGTCGCAAATAACTCGATGTGTCTATAATTTCCCAAGACTTTTCTTGTATAAACCAACGCGTATTAGAGAATATGTCAAGAGGGTTGATGATAAGGGCTTTGACAGGAAGTCTAAGATGTTTCTTGAAGCGGTTCGGGTTGTTAGTTCGATGAAAATAGAGAATTGGGAGCTAAAATTGGAGCTCTTTAAGAGTCTGGGGCTTTCGGAAGATGACATTTTGTCAGTTTTTAGGAGACAGCCTCAGGTGTTTGCTGTGTCCGAGAGGAAAATTAAGGCTATAACACAGCTTTTCCTTAGCACAGGCAAATATGATATCTCAGTTGTTGTTAATCACCCAGAGTTTTTAGTTTACAGTGTTGAGAGTAGGCTTAAGCCACGGCTAAGAGTTATGGAGGCTTTGGAAAGGAGGAATTTGCTTCTGAAAAAGCCTAGTTTGACGACTCAATTTATCATCAGTAATAAGAAGTTCTTTGAGAGATATGTACTGCCTTATTCAGATGAAGTTGGCGAATTATTCGTGGTTAACAAGGCCTCATTGACAGCAGAAATATCTGCTTAACATCAAGACATCCTTTGTGATTCAAGCTGAGACTAAATCTTTTTCCCAAAAAGCAAATGAATTGGCAGAATAGCATGGCAGGTAAGTAGCTACTATTTTGCGCTAGATATCCACATTTTTTTTTTTTTTTTTTTTTTTCAAATTTTCAATTTTCATATGGTGTAATATTTTGCGTCTTTGGCAATGGGGGCTATACTGGTGAACTCGGTGTTGAATGTGGTAGCCAATCTGCAGCAGCAGAACCTCCGGGTTATGTTTGCCCGTGAACTTTGCAACTAGTTTTTTTTATGCTCTGTCGACTCTCTCCCTCCTTGTGGTGTTTGTGGAATATTGAAAGGGTTGTTTTGTCTTCATGCAACTATTAAATTAATGTTGTAAGAGTGTTGAATTTTGATTTTTAAAATGGGGTTTGAATCCAGTACCTTAAATTTTGGTCCAAGTTATGCAAATTTATATAAGTGATATTTGATGTGTATCTAGTATTATTGGGACTTAAAATATAATGTTTCCTCCTATATTGACAATTTTTTATTTTATTTTATTTTTATAGTGTAGTGTAAGAACACAATTTAAATAAGGGTTTAGTGCAAAAAGCAGTCTCATGATTATATAGCCGTGATCTTATTCTTCACATATAATTTATAGTTGTGCATAATTGTATGCTATTATAACTTTTGTTTATCATGTACATTGGTACTTACTATAGTCATGCATGTACGGATCTGCTAATATAAACATGATTTGATCTTGTAACAGTATCCCGAATGAAGTCGTCTGCACTCTGCAGCTGTTTCTTGCAATGTGAATTTTGACTTAGATTCACTTGCTACTTCTTAATTGTCCTTCAGCATATCTGATGGGGGCATATGTAGCCCATTAGGTTATTCCATTTGTAGTAGTTTTTTTTTTTTTTTTTTGTTTTTGTTTTTCACACGTACATGTCTCTTATGAAACTTGAACCCCTACTCTCCCTTTGGGAGGCAAGTGGCCGATACTGTTAGGCCACTGCCCATTGGTTATTTCAATTATAGTGAAACTCTTTCTCTATTGTTGTGATCTTTGTTCTGCAATCCTTCTTAACCACAGATGTCTTTGTCTTTGGGCAATGATGAAAAAGATGGACAAAAGGGATAACTTGCATCATATAGCCCATTGTTAACTCATGATTTTGAATCAATTTGCTAAATCCCATGATATTGGTTCTTTCTCCTCTAGTGTTTCTCATGTTACTTAATACATTTTATTATCGAAGAAGAAAAAAAAAAAAAAAAAAAAAAAAAAAAAAAAAAAAAAACCACCCTAAACTAATTGATTTTATCCCCACTAAATATGCCCGGGGACTATATGATGTATCAGACATGCCAATGGACTATATGATGTATCAGACATGCCAAACGAGTAATCAGAACATGAGCAAGACTATGAAGAAAACCCTTCGGTGACGACTATTATGAATTTTTCATATTGACCATTGCATTGGGAGAATTGTTAATATATTTAGGGTATATTTGGAATTCGAGTGTTGAAATTTGAATTGGTAGAATTTAACAAATTTTTGGTTTAATTTTCTTAATTGTTTTTCTCAAATTCTCTCAATTCTAATTTTAAATCTTCAATTCTAAGCGGCCGAACACACTTTTTACATTACAAATTTTAAATACCATTCCAATAAAGCGGATAATAAGTTTTTGATAAATTTGTAATCTGAGATGTTTTCCTAAGCTCTTTATTAATATGAATATTCTCACATTTCTTTCCAGCTACAAGTATGCTCATTCATTTTCATTGAAGGAGGCAATGCAAGCTGCAAAGAAGTGTATTTCTCCTTGCCATCAGATTGAAAAAAACCATAATGACAAACAATCCTAAGAAAAGCAAAAATAAAAAATACGAATATAGGAAGGAAAACGTGAGCAAATGGCTCAATCCATTATTTTCTATTCAAAAAGTTAGTTATGATCTTAAAACCATCCAACGCAATCAATTCACGATGATGGTATGCAATAGTCTATTTATTCTAACAAAAGATTGAAAAGAATTGGCATCATTAAGTCCCACTAGAACGCACAATAAATTCAATTATTGTGAAGTTCTATTTTAGAACAATATTTTACTTTTTTTTTCCCTAAATAGAACATTAATAGTTTAATTAATTCTTTATATATTCTTCAAGTTTCTTACTTTAGGTTGATACAAAATGGTTTATGATTATTTTGTTAGTATATACTAAGTGATTTAAAGTGTTAAAAACAATCAGACAACAATCATATGATTCTATATATATATATAGAATCATATGATTGTTGTGTGATTGTTTTTATATATATATATAATTAGTTTAACAAAAAAACTGAGAGCACATGCAGTTGAGATGTGCCATGTACAGAAGAATTTCTGGCTACTGATAAAAGGGGAAAACAGCGGAAGAGGGGAAACTAGAGTTGGAAAATTATGAAAACGATGAAGAGGGTTTTGGAAGGCATAAATAAAAATTTAGAATGGAACATGATCAAACAGAACTCTCGTGCCCTCTCTTTCTCCTTTTCGTGAAATGAATTGAGAGTAAATTCAAAAAATACTTACTCGTAAATTGAAACCTACAGCCATGGAATGTTTGAAACCCACCTCCAAATTTTTTTTTTCAAAAAAATTAGATTTTGATGAGCAAACTTAAATAAAGTTGTTTTAAAGCGACTAAAGTAAAAAAAATAAAAATAAAAATTGAATAGTAACCCGTTTTAAAACTTAATTAATAGCATGTGACCTTTCAAGGATAATTTAGTCAAAAAAAAAAAAAACAATAATGTATTTGATGCTCTCACAAACTTCCAAGTAAAACTTCACAGTTGAAGATTAATGTAGAGTCAGTTTTCGGCTACAATTTGGAGAAGCCTCATCTTCTTTAGTTTTCGGCTGAAGATTATTTTTGTAAATCTTTTTATTTATTGTTGAAGAACAAATATGGCAGCCTAAGTGATAGTAACTTCGGCATCCATGTGGACAAATGAAAGGGAAACAAGTGGGCCAAATTATGGTTCAATAATACGGTGACACATGGCATTTAATGAAGGTAATTGAAAACTCAACACTTGTGTGGGGCAGCAGATGATAAGTGTGTAATATTTCAACTGACACTTGAAATAATACAAAAGTTCATATGCGGTAGGATTGTATAGTACTAACTGGTCATATAATTCACTCTAACCAGTAATAAAGTGAGCTAAACAAGTCCTAAATTCAAGGCTAATGATTAACATAATGGGTTGAATTAGTACATACAATTAAGGAGGTGAGTAAGCATAACCATTATCTTACATATATGAATAACCATGTTGCTATAAAAAGAGGAGGTGGGTTAGTGGACATGTGGCTGACAGTAAAACTACCAGGTAATTGGTGGCTTGGATTCATGGGACACTTGTCCAGCATACAAGTGGACACATATCAGGCCCTAAAATAATGGGAGTGGGTTGAGAGAAATTGTTAATAATAAATCAAGATATGATTAACACATGATAGATGACGAAACTTTCAAATGAATAATTAGTTTCTATAATATAGGAAAGTGGGCTAAGAAATGTGCTGAAAATGAATTATGTTGTACCACATGTCACATGCAAATTAGAAAGAGAAGCTTGAGAAGTGGGTTTGCAAGTTACAAGGTCATGGGTAAATGATTTCACAAACCATAAGTTATGGGACACTTGGTAGATGAAGAACAAATCCGCACATCAGAATCTGGAAGATGCACAATTGACAGAGCATGGGCTGAATCATGTGACACATGGCATCACCAGACCAAAGCTGGAAGAAGGCATGTGGGTTTAGAAGTTAGTTTATCATAGAACATGGGTCCTTCTTGCAAAGCTTATAAAATCTATGTAGTCCAATATATGATCTAAGTATACCATACACTATAGTGTTACTATTTAAATATTATGCATAAATATAATGGGTGTATATATATAATTATTATTATAAAATAATAATCTATATATATATATATATATATATATATATATATATATTATCTTGTAAAATATAGTTATATAAAATAAAACAAAATAAAAGAACCTGAAAATAAGTTGAGGCTAAAATTTGATTTTATGTCTTTAAAACAGATTCGTCTCGCTATGGTGCTAACGGATTCAGTAACATCTATTTCCTAGGATACAACAACTTTTACTTCTTTTGGTAGTAGTACTGCAAACCAAAGGAATAGGCGAACCGACTCGGTGTAGTACTATCTGACTCGAACTCGGAATGACTGACTAAACTTCGACTCGGAGTGACTGACTAAGGCTCAAACCCAAAGACATACCCACAAACACTTATAGAAGAAGAGAGAGGAAGGAGAGAATTCAGAATTAGAGAAAATGATTCTGAATTGGAGTACTTTGAAATGAACCGGGGGGGGGGGGGGGGGGGGGGTTTATATAGGCTTCATGGTGCCTTTTGGTTTTAATATTTTCTGAATATGGGATAAACACTTCCCACATTTTGCAAACCCATTTAGGATTATCAAACACCTTACTTTGGATCTAATTTCTCATTCAACCGGAAACGGATTTGAGGAAGTAAATATATCATATTCATATCCTTGCGGAGAGGAACGCGCTCGTCTATATATTTGCAAAAAATTCTTATCGAAATATATTCAAAATCTAATCCAAAGTTTATGTTTTTAATGCCCCCATTTTTCAACAATCCCCCACATGAATGGAAATTTACGTAAATTGCAAATGAAGAAGATACAGACACTAGAAACAGTACTATTGGAAAGTAACTGCATCGGGATAGATAACTTTTGGCCTTGAACCTTCTCTAGTGTATTACTATCGGATTTACTGGCTAACTAGTGAACATGATATCTTCAACTGTTGAGCCGTTGATGTAAACCAAGACAATAGCAAATACATAGTTCCTTCCCACACAAAGTCGGTTCTCATAGTTGTGTTCATATGGCCCTGAACAACTCTTGGTATTTCATGAGTGCTCTA